GTCGGCGCGGAGCCGGGCAGGTCCGGGGAGTCCGCACGGCTCAGCCCCGGGGTCCGCATGCTCTTCCTCCTCCTCCTGCCCCCGGGCAGGGGCGCCCAGCCCCGCAGCCTCCCGCACCCCCACAGCCCCGCAGCCTCCCGCACTCCTACAGCCCCGCGGGCCTCGACGGTGCCCGGCTGGGGCCGGTCCTGCGGGGGGGAGGAGTGAGATCACCCCGATTTCCCCTCCCGGGCACCCCGGCTCTGACATCCCCACCCACTTCATATTTTTTTCATTCCCCCCCTGGGTTGCACCACGGAGAAGGCTTCCCCTTTCCCTTTCCCTTTTCCTTTTTAGCAAGGAAGGCTCCATCCAAAAAAACCCACATTTCCCTTTTTGTCTTGCCTATTAGATATAATTTAACATAAAACGCCTGTTATAATTACTGATGATACAAGGGATCCCTTGCTTTTGCAAGCTACTAACAGGATTATCTAACGAGTGCTAGATTTCAAATTAACCAGCAACACGACATGAGGATTCATTTCGTTGCACCAGAAAGGAGGAAGGGAGTGGATTTGGGGACAGGGGGGTCCTGGGAACCCTGTGCCCAGCATTGCTTCCCTCTGGCCTGACTGGGGTGCACTGGGCAGAAGTGTGGCCCCTGAAGAGCCTAGGAAGGCATGATTGTAATTATAAAAATATATATAAAAATGGAAAAATAGATATGAAACCATTCTAAAGTGCTGTCTCGGGAGGGTTCAGAGCGGTCTGATCCATCCTGGGGCAGAACAGCAGCTCAGCCTCCTGCCTGCTGCCTTTGCCTGGCCACAGGAAATGGAGGGCTATAAAAAATTCTATTAGAGATGAGTTAATTAATGGTAATTGGAAAAGGGACCTCCCCTACGTAAAATTGTCTTTCTCCGAAAAGAGCCTTTAAAAATAATCTGAGAAAAAAGCCCCAGCAAACACAAACACAGCGCCCTACAACAGCATAATGAAGCTTTTGAGTAAAAGACCTTGTTTTTATTGCTGAGGGGAGCTGGGAGGACAGTTCCCCCAACCCCAGCTCTGGCCTCCCTCCTGCCAAAAAGAGGCATCGGGAGCAGCTCTCCTTGCACTGCTTGGGTGAAGCCTCGTGGTCTGTGATGAAACCTGCTTGCTCAGCCACCTCTGGTTTCAGCCCTGGTTTTCCTTCTGTGTGGAAAACAGCTTTACCTGGGGAAGGGGGATCTGGGGAGGCTTGGTCCTGAGCTCAGGCTCTCAGGGATGCTGCTTCCACAGGGCTGAGGTCCCTGCCCTTCCCACCAGCAATGCCACTCCTCCCCACCTTCCCATCCTTCCACCACAGCTTCAACTCTTCAGGCCTGGTGGAAAGTAAATCCTTTTAATGAGTCATATAATTTTGGACACGAGAAATTTTCCCCCTCTCCTTTGTAATTAGAGCTGGCCGCGTGTCTAAAATGATCTGCTTTCCAGAGGGAAACAATAATTGAATTGTTGGGTGTCTCCCGAGCTTTGCAGGGCTCCGGGAAGGCTGCGAGGGAAGCTGAGCCATTCTCTTGTTAGCGTCTGCAATAAGAGTGAGACACCCTAGAATTCAATTACACGGCTCCTCCAGGAACCGTTATAATTATAACGTCAACTTGTTTTTTAAAATTTCATAATTACGTTTTAGGATCCTTGCGTGGATGTTTGGGAACGTGCCTGCCTGGCCCCGGCCCCCTGCGTGTACCCTCCTTTGCTGCAGCCTCTTCCCTGCCTGTGCTCTGGTGGCATCCTGCTCCCTGCACCCAAGGGTGCCCTCCCTCTCCATCCCTGTCCCTGGCACCCACGTCACGGCCCCGCTGAGCCCTTCCCTGCTCTGTGCTGCTGGGCATCTCTCCCAAGTGTGGTGCCACAACAGCACAGCATGTGCTGAGAGGGGGCAGGTGACATGTCCCCATGTCAGATCTGTTCAACCCCTCCAATGCCTCTGCCTGCAAGATCCATTCCCACACACACCTATTCCAGAAAAAAAAGTTGGTAAGTGGATGGGAGTTGCCAGTTACTGATGACTCTGTGCTCAGCTAGCTAGAAACCTATGTCCTATGTCCCTTTGGTGGCACCAGAGGGGTGAGATCCAGGGCACACTGGGCAGTGCTGGGGGACCCTGGGAGTGTGGTGCTCAGTATCGTTGCTGTCTGGCATCTTCACCTTCAAAAATGCAGACATAAAACACCTGAAACCTCTCCTGTTTCTTTTGCAGGTGGACATGAAAGCTCAGAAGGGCTTGATGTGCCACCAGTGATGCCTGGCAAGTGAGGGCTGGGAGCAGGATCTTGCTTGGGTTGTGGTTGAGCTGCTTCTAGGATCTATTTAGAAAAGTAGATCAGGCTGCTCAGATTTTACATTCCT